TGAAAAACTTGCATTGTAATATAAAGTAGTTTTAAAGGAAAAACCTGAAGATGATGCTACGCATCGAAACATGTAGTAAATGAAGGCGCAGTATTGTAACATCGTAGTAACGATGAATAGCGCAAATTTTAAATTTTAACATCTGTAAATAAAGTTTGTGTATAGACCTGAATTATATTACATATTTTAATTTCTAAATGAAAATTCAGTACTTTTCCCTATGACCGAAACACCGAATGGACGTATAATTATGACATAAAACTTGATTTGTAACGCACACCAATGACCAAAACTTCGATTTGTAACGCACTCCAATGACCACACAAGTTCAATACAGTGGCAAATGCAATTTCGTGCAGCAGGGTTCCCAAGAACTGCAGGTTTTATTTTTAAAAAAGACGGAAATTTTTTGTTCGTTCAATTCCACACTTTGTGTTGGCAAAAATTATTCAATATGGCGATAAACATATTTGCATTTGCTTCTATGTACAGCAGCCCTCTGTCACAACCGTTGTTCAACAGCACATAAACTAAAGCTTAGAATCGGGGAATTAAAGGGGCTGCATGTTTACAGTAGTCTAAGTGCATGGGTAGGTGGGTGGTAAATTCCAAGTAATCCAAAGCCACTCCTTCCTCTGGCTTCCTGCTCGTTTCCCATTGGTGAAGTCGTTACCCTGCAGTTGAGACTGATATTCTTCCTCGTTCTTATACCTCATTTTTCCCTTCAAGAAAAGTGAAAATAGTAAATAGAAATAAGTGCGCCTCAGAAGAACTGGTGTTCTCTGTTCATGATAAAGCGTGACTAAAAAATGCAATCAGTTGACTTCCTTTACCCGTCGACATGTCGTGTATTACCATCTTCATGTTTGTGTGAAAATAATAAACAAAATAATAATAAAATACAACTACAATTCACAATTATAATGAACAATTTGTTGGTTTAAACAGTACTTAGGCTTAATAGCCCACTCACATCTTCTTTTCCATTGGTGTGACATGCAAACAAGGATCACAAACTGGAAATTACGAAAAAAAACAATGCCCTAATATAACACTTATTCGCAATCACAAACATGTGAAGAGCCTATCTGCACCCAGGTACCGCTTTTCAGGTGAAGGTTAAACTGAATTTAAATCATACCAGCTACCCCTCCCTCTCCCCCTTGCTCAACACATTCCGTTTTGCTTCGATCCACGCACCACCAACGCCACAACCGAGACCCGGCCAGAGAATGGAACTTCTCACGGCGGTGACGTCATCCGCCCAATCGGGGCCACGGAATCCCTGGAATGAAGCGTGTCAACCCCGTAGGAGATAGGCACGCTACATGACGGGTGAGTGGTCTGTTTTCTGAACATTATTTTGCTGATCAAATTTTCACTGGGAAAACTGCTTGCATGGGGTTCAGGAGTGGACTGAAAGACAGTGTGTAATTTCGATGAACTTTGTGATGGGATTCAGTGTTCATTTGGTGGTCTAGATATCCTCTATTGGACCAAAGTGTGTGTGTGATTTTCCCGTAGTCTCT